TTGCCCCCCCCCCAGTCAGCTGATTGTGGAGGAGAGAAGTGGCCCCCCCACCTCCTCCAGTCAGGCCTTGGGGGGTGCCCCCGAGTGGGGCCCTCCCCTCCAGCCCCACCTGCTCTGCGCGCAGGGAAGCGAAAGTGAAAGCAGAGCAGCTGCTACGCAGGCAGAGAACAAACAGCTCCCCGGGGCCCCCCAATAGCCTCTCCCCGGGGGTAGCGGGGCTCTCACACCTCTCCCCCCCCCAACCGCCGCCCCGCGGACTCGCTCACCGCTGGACAACGTCTCTCTCTCCCGGCGCCGCTCCGGTCCTGCTGCGACGGAGGAGGAGGAGCCGCCGGGAAAGGGCGGAACCGGCTGCTCCCGCCCCTAGCCCCGCCCGGAATTGTTTTAGCGGAGCACCTCCCCTCGAAGAGGCTGCTGGGACTTGTAGTTCCGCTGCTGCGGGAGCGAGGGCTCTGCCAGAGGGGACCCCCGCCCCCTTGAGAGAGAGGATGGGACACCTTTTGGAATAAGTGTGAATCTCCCAAGCCCAGGAGCTCACCCCCACCCTGCACTCCTGCAACAACACATCATGGAGGCATCCCTTGCCCTGCCCCTGGGATATGGCTTTGGAGTGGGAGACTTTGGGGGTCCTTCAAGTTAGGAGGAAAGAGCGACAAGATGGGAATCCTCTTAATCATTTAACTGGGCACTCGAAAGGGTGGTACCCACCCTATTGCTCAGGCAGATGGCTCCACCCGCTGGCTAGTTTGTGGATTGACAGACAGCTGTCAGATGAAACGGACAATAAACCTGATTGAGAGAGGTCGTGGGGTTTGTTTTATTATTATTATTCAGTGTCTAAAACCTCTACGCTTTTTGTTTATTAGCACCTGTTTAACTCAATACAAGATAAAGTATTGAACAGAGAGAAAAAATCTTCAGTGGTTGAGTTTTTCCCCTAGGATGAACCCAAAGCCTAACTTACTGTGTGTCTTTCTTGACTCTGCTAGAATGGTTGAGCAGCACCTCACTCTACTTTTCTCCTGTGGCTGCCCTGTTTCCCTCCTACAGTCTGTACTGATGTGTGGAAAGGTCAAGGTCACTGAGACATGTTAGAGTATGTGAGAGATCTTTAAAAATCAGGCCATTAACTTCTTAATACAAACAAAACAAAGAAAAGCCAAGGTGTTTTAAACAGTCCATTAAAAAAAACACAATTAGAAGTAACCTACAAAAGGAAAAAAATGGGCTTCTGACATTTTTGCTTCTTCCAGAGGTAAAAAGAAAATATGAATTAAAAAAATTCTAAAGCACTGGATAACAAGTAGAATTATGAACCTGTCTGTCTGTATCTATCTGTTGTCTCTTGTCATATAAATTAGATTATAAGGTTTCTGGGGCAGGGACAGTCTTTTTGCTCTGTATTTGTACAGCACCTAGCACAATGGGATCCCAATCCATAATTAGGGCTCCTAGGTCTTACAATTAAAAATTATTAATAGTCACATCACAGATAACATGGAAAATAAACCCAACTAAGTGAGAGGGGAATAATTTTATTATTATTATTTGGTGTTTAAAACCTCTCAATTTTTATTTGATTTTGTTAGCACCCGTTTAACTCAAACACACAGGAGAAAAACCCTCTTTGTTGAGGCCTGATCACATATATACATCCTTTAACTAAAGGTTGAAAAAGCCCCAAGCCTACATTTCCAAGTGACCCACAGGGTATATTTATGCTGCAGTGTAAACCAACGGGTTGAACTCAGGCTCAAACCTAAACCTCCTGCTATCTACAAATTGTACTAACCCAGGGCTTGGACCTAGATTTCCTGGACAGGGGTGGAAGGTCTGACCCTGAGTCAAGATGCGACCCAGGATAGCCCTATTACTTTGCAATGTAGACACAGTCCCATTGGACTTGTGCTCTGGGAGTCCGCCAAAAGTATCCAACAATTCTATGGGCTGAATTTCTTTGTCATTTGGACAGTCAAGTTTTACCACACTACCACAAACCAAGGTCTAGAGCGGACACATTTTGGGAGGGTGCTAGAAAGTCTTGGATATCAGTGATTGGTCTTGGGCCCGCATAATGCTGTGTAGATACTGGACTGGAGCCCCAGGTTAGGATCCAGGGTTCAACAATTGCTAACCTGATGGTACAAACAAGTGTAGATGCTCAAGCCGTAGGTTAACGAACCCAGGGTCTGCTCATTTGAGTTCTATTAATCATGGGCTTCCACTGCAGTGTAGATATATCCACAAAGACCTCTGACAAAGGGAAGCCTAACGTTACTAAGGGGGAAAAGTAGAAAATAAAATAATTATAAACATTTCCAGCCTTTGTTTTGCATCATGAAAAAGCATAAAAAGACAGATCACCTTTAAACATAAAATAGTGAAGGGTTCAAACTCATTGAACTTGAACCCATAACCTCAAGTTCAAAATCAGGCTGAGAGTTGTGCAAGGAAAACTGTTCCTATATACGACTGCTCATGAGTCTGTGGTTTGAATCCAGTAGGGTGACCAGACAGCAAAAGGGAAAAATCTGGACAGGGGGTGGGGGGTAATAGGAGCCTCTATAAGAAAAAGACCCAAAAATCGGGACTATCCCTATAAAATCGGGACATCTGGTCACCCTAGAATCCAGCCCAAAATAGCTTGAGGGGGGATTTAGGGTTCCAATCCAGCCCAAAATGGCAGATGAGGATCCCAGATTCAAATCCAGCCCAGGATAGTGGCTGTGGGGTTGGGTTCGAATCCAGCCCCAGACAACTCCTTGGGATCCCCTATGCATGAGGTAGGTTTGGGGCCCCAAGGAGCTGTCCGGGGCTGGATTCGAACCCGCCAACCCGGCAGGTACAGCCTCATCACGTGACTGCCAAGTTAGCTTCAGATCCCATGTTACAATACTCTCCAGCTCTGAAGGGGGACAGAGTCAAAGTAACAGGGACTCTCTAGCCTTCCCCTTGGCCAACTCTACGGTCCTTTGGGAGGCCCTCAGGCAGCCAACCAATCAGAAGCCAGAGACGCCCTAAAGGAGCCAATCAGAACCTGGGGATGTAACCACGTCGTCTCCGTTTCACGCAGGCCGAATGTCCCGGATTGTGGTAGGCGGAGACTCATCCCGGAGAGCCAATAAGGAGAGCACGTTCCCTCCCCAGGAGGCCACAGGGCAGCGCACGTTGCGTCGCAGCGGCCAATGGGAGTGGAGGACGCGGAGGCACACGGCAAGGTGAGCGGCGGGGCGGGGCTTGCTCTCCTCTCTCGAAGGGCTGCAGCGCCGGAGCTCGAGTGGGGGGTTACCGTCCGCAGGTGGGGCGCCGAGCTGGGCTCGCTAGGGCGGCCGCCTTCTCCTCTGACCCTCGTGGCTTGGGCCCTTGAGGGGGGAGGCAGGAAGGGGGCAGTTGGGGAGGGATGGGGCAATTGGGGAGGGATGAGGTAGGAAGGGGGCAAGTTGGGGGGAGGAGGGATGAGGGGGGAAGGAGGGGGCAAGTTGGGGGGGAGGGG